TTTTTTTTTTTTTGGGTTGTGATTTCACACCTTTTGAAGAAAGTAAAGAACATTATAGGTACTTCTACACATCTTCGCATGGGTTTTATTTCCCGAAAGCAGCAAGTTGAGAAGCAGTAAGTTGTATTTTCATTAAATTAATATAAGTAATTTGTATTATATATTAATTCTATATTTTTAAATTATAAATAGTTGTTGATATTATTTACCCACGCATCGTCAAGGGATTCGTACTATTATGTAAGAAGTTAACAATTTATGACAATGTATTAAAATATGGTGATTGACCTCTCGGTAATTGATTCAATTCTTAGGTTGTCGGGGACTTGTGATTCATCTTCTCGACTCTTGGCTTCTGGGTCATCGTTTCAACCGTTGATCTGTCACGCCAAATGCTGAACAAATAATTAAATTTTTAAAAATGTCTAATTATATTCATATTATTTTATCATCTACCTATACATAAAATAATAAAATATATATAATTTATATATGATTTTTATAATAGATGAGATGAGATTTATTAGGTTTTGGGTTTGTGACGGCTAAGAGTAAAAATGAGTTGTCGATGGCACCTTAGAAATGGGAAAAGAAGGTTTATTGGATGTTTTGGTTAAACCTAAAAATTTACACAAAATCTCATTCGATTCACGGTTTAATCGTTTGACTGGTCGATTCGTCATATTTTCTCTTAAAAAATAATTACATACGTATACTACGGACCACAGAAATGACATACTGTTGTGTGACATTCCAATTTAAAAATACACATATCCAATAAAAAATTATCACCATGTTACTGAAAAGTTAGAGCTCGAGTATCATTGTCTGCACATCAAATTGATTGGTTAGTTTTATAATTGCTTGTCTCTCTTCCACTGTTTTTCATATTTGGCAGCAAATATGAAGATACTTTCACTTCATATACAGCCACTTGTTGCTCTCACAGTTTATCTCCCTTTTGCCGTCTCTCTTTGCGGTAGAAACAGACCTCTCATTTTCAACTTCGGCGATTCAAACTCAGACACCGGCGGCATCACCGCCGGTCTGGGATTGGAATTCCATTACCCTTACGGCCGATCCTTTTTCCGGCGACCGACCGGCCGAGCGTCCGATGGGCGGCTGGTCATTGATTTCCTCTGTAAGTAGAGCCTGCTCGAACGAAATTCGCACCTCGATTAGCTTTGTTGCCTTATGTAGTTTTAATTTTTACGACCTTTTTCTTCTAATCTAGCATCTTTACTTTCGAATTCACGAGCATTCAAAAATGAATTCATTCATCTGACAATTTCTGTCATTGTTGCTAACAGAGGATAATCAAGCTAGGCTTTGTAGGTTGGTAATTTGTGTGAATACTGTGATTTGTACTAAGTTTTTTTTTTTTTGTTTTCTTGTGATTAATTGTTTTGTTTTCTATGATGATGGTGACTAGAAGACCCGATCAAACCAAAAATGGACCGGTCATCCATTTTTTTTTTTTAAAAAAAAAATATATACTTATTATGCTATAAAATTTCATACTTTATGTGTTCCAGCTTGAAATTATGCCGTTACAAAATATGATTGCGCACAAATTTGACATAACTTACCTGAAGATGGAGGTGAAATATTGTTTCAGATGCAGAAACTGTTAATAATTGATAATTATAAACTATAATAAGTCTAAACTGAGCAGATTGAGACAATTCTACTGACTACTGCTTTCCCTTTTAGGCAAGTCGTTTAAATGTTATTATATTCATATATTCATTGCGAAGATCTAGCGAAGAATGCTTTAAAGTTTAGTCGTGTAACTCGACCATTGAACATGTTGATATTGGTGGATAGATTGAGAAGAGTTCACAGAATAGTCCATTTTTCAGTCAATTGATGAAACTCAAATATATTAAACTTTCTGGTATAACTTGCATTGACAGGTGAACATCTTGACACGAAATACTTGAGTCCGTATTTGGATTCTTTGGAATCCGACTTCTCGAATGGAGTCAACTTTGCAGTAACTGGATCGTGCACGCTCCCTAAACTTCGGCCCTTCAATTTGAATATTCAAATTCTTCAGTTCAAGCACTTCTACAACCGCTCAGTGGAGCTTCATTCGAAAGGTATGTAACTTGAAAAAATGCTTTTTCCCTTAAAAGAAAAGGCGAGGGTTTGATTAAGTTGTGAATTGGAATTTTTCGTTTATATAGGTCACGTAAATTTGGTGGGAAAGGATGACTTCAAGAACGCACTTTACACATTTGATATTGGGCAAAATGATCTCTCGGGTTCATTTGGCGCCCTCTCATATGCTGAAACCATTGAAAGAATCCCTTCTTTCATATCCGAAATCAGAGATGCTTTGTGGGTGGGTCTTATTTTTTTCAACTCACATTCGTGTTCATAAGACTTCTTATGGAGTATTAGGCTGAAGTTTGTTAACCGATTGAAATAATATTTGACACGATATTTACTTGAAGTTCAATAAGAGGTTACTTAGATGTCTGATATGATGTCTGAAATGTTGTGTTCAAATGAAATAACAACCAATGGTATCTTATTAATCTGGTTATACGTAACTTTTGCAATGTATCGTTACAGATGAATAGAAGTTGATACCTATAAGACATGAACCATTTTTTATTTTTATTTTTTGAATTGAATTTAATTATCTGGTTGGTCTTTATATTCATCAAAATCATGTAATTCAGGCCATATATCAACTCGGTGGGCGGAATTTCTGGGTGCACAGCACAGGACCATTGGGTTGTTTACCTCGAGAAATTGCCCTTAGAGAAAAACTAAATAACAGCAATTTCGACCAATATGGATGCTTAAAGTCTTTGAACGACGTTGCAAAAGCATTCAATGCGGAGCTAAATGCCCTTTGTGAACAGCTACGATCTCAAATGGATAACTCCAAGATCGTCTATGTGGATGTCTACTCCATCAAGTATGATCTCATTGCAAATTCCACATCATATGGTGAGTAAATTATTCCTTAATATAAAACTTGAGTTTCTCATTTTTTTTCCTTCTTTTGGGATGTTCATCCACTCGCTCAATGCACGGATTTCCTTTTTTTTTTTTTAATATAAAGGTTTCAAATATCCGTTGATGGCTTGTTGTGGATATGGCGGGCCGCCTCACAACTATGTTGATGATTTTGACAAGACATGTTTGGGCACTCGATTTAGTGTTTGTGACGAGGGAACACCGTACGTAAGTTGGGATGGAGTTTATTACACGGAGGCTGCTAATGCCATTGTTGCCTTGAAAATACTTTCGACTCTTTACTCGTCTCCACCATTGAAGTTTGACTTCTTTTGTAACTCGAAAGCAATTGAAGTTTGACTTCTTTTCCAACTTGAAAATGCTTTCAACTTGTTATTCTTCTCCACCATAGGAGTTTGACTTCTCTTCAAGTTAGCTCTGCTCTTTAACTTTGACTCACAAGTTCATTTGTGTGTTCTGTGGTGGAAACTTAGTGAGCCTTTGTTGGTAACTACTCTTAACAACTTTTTGTTGTCATATGCTGTAAGTTAGCAATAATTCGTACTCTAACGATTAGGCGATCCTTAATATTTACTCGTCGTATGCTTTGAACAAAGTTGTATGCTTATACTGTGAAATGTCAAACTTTTATTTAAGTTGTTTGTCGAACTTTTTCTTTTTCTCTTTCCTTCTCAAATTTCCGGCCATTGCAAAAACTCCCTATGTAATTTCGTAGAAAATAGTAAACAAAAATTTTAAATATAAATTCGGTACTCAATTTCGCTCGTTTTCCTTGATAATAAGGTTACTAACTGACAACACTCCAACATAGGATCAAATTGTGACTATCTAGCTAGAGTAGTAATAAATTTCCCAGGAGTTAATAAATTCAATCCAAGAAACGGGAAAATTTCGATATTGGATTGAAAAAATACTTGTTCTGTCTCCTCATTATTGACTGTAATATATATCAGGCTTTATCACTGCCTTTGAAGCTCTTGTTCAGAAATTCCTCCAGCTTGTCATCCATTTCTTCTACCTGCACATACACATACACATACATGCAAGTTCAAATGGAAATCTTTGTGTAGCTTAAGAGCACGATACGAATATCATAACATGCGGAGAAAAAAAAAAACACGTTTAATTTGTGGGATGACGAAATTAGACTAGGTGGTCTAGGTTACGATTCAACCCAATTAGCTCATGCGATCATTTGGCGACAAGGTTAATCAACCAAAACCGGGTAAACAAAGCGGTAGCGTACTATATCGAAAAAAAAATAAAAAATTACCTTATCCATCAAATCTTCGACTTTTTGGGCATCTTTTACGGTTTCTTCAGCCAGATCCTCCACGAAACTAACGACTTTCTTAAGGCCGCCCTCAGGCAGTGCCTCTGCAAGGTCTTCGGCCGCTTTATCCACCTCCTCCGCCACTTTTCCCACCGTGTCAGCTATTTTCTCGACTGTTTGGGCCGCCATGTCAACCTGCTCTGTAAAAAGTAAAATCATACTCTAAAAATAAGTGACAGGAGAAAAATGCTCAAATTAAGTTGCGCATTTGTTCAATTAAGTTAAGATAAGATACCTTATTATCAACTAGCAAGCTTTGGATCCATAATTCATTTTACCTTTTACTCTATTTTTAGTAATATTTGAGTACCACATATGCAACACAGATGGAATATTATTGTTCGAATTATGATCGTGAAAACGAAAGCTAAATTGCAAATTAAATCCCATATTTTCTCCATTTGCAATTAAATTTCAACTTTTCAATATTGACAATAAAAGTCATGAGCTTTCAATTTTCGCAATTTTTTTTTTTAATCCACACGTCGGGACAGTTTATCTAACGGTTACAAACTCTTACGAAATAGTTCTGTAACGGGACCGTAGCATTTCTCATATATTTATTACTAAATACGAACCAAGAACCCTTACTTGTTAATGTTAGTAGCCTTTGGACCATTAAAGGTACAACTACAATCAGCCCAGCAACCCCTGCTAACCTGCAACACAAACCCGTTTGTTAAATCTTAATACATCACACACAACTTCTACAAATTTAACTACATTCGTTTTATCAACACCACAGATATAGAGTACGTAAATATTTAATTAATTTTTCTTGAAGAAAAATGTTATTCATACAATATAAATATTTTCAGAAATTGAAGCTATATTATACTATTTGACTATGCTTGACCCCCGCGAGATCTATTTAGGTTACAATTGGAATTAATTTTCAGTTAACCAAACTTTCTTTATTGTTATTGTCACAAAATAAAGTTAAAAATATTCTGACCATGGATTGTCGCCGACGGGCAGCGAGAGCCCCGGGATGCCACCGGGGATCGGAAAAGAAGCCACCGCATCTCCGACCACTTCCGGTGATGCCTTCCTGACAATCAAATCCCTGTAAATTTAATCAACGAAAAAAAAAAAATTATACATGATCGGCGATCCCACAATCTCTCATATAAAAAAAATGATGCATTACATGTTTAGCGATTTTCTTATTCTAGCCGGAAAAAATCCTGGCGGGCAGCTGATTTTGCTCCGGCGAGGAAAGGAGCCAGTTTGAGGAGCAGTATCGGAGGTGGGTTTGAGAGAGAGGGTGCCGCAAGCCCAACATGTAACGGCCATGGATTTGGAGTGTGTGTGATTTTGATTTTCTTTTTTTTTATAAAAAAAGATGATGGTTTAGATCTGTGTGAAGAATGGGGGAAATATAGGTTGACTGCGATCATTTATGATTTTCGGATATTTAAAAGAAAAGTTTAGGATGATTGAGGTAGTTATTGAAACTCTCACGTGCTATAATTCAGTCGTACAAAGCCAGCTACCAAAATTGCCGGGAAAGATAGGTGTCCGTGGCCTTCAATCGGTCATTAAATTTAGACATGGCCACAGACCGGTCCGGAACCATCCCGAAATCGGACCCGTAGTTTGACTGGTTTGGTTCCAGCCCAAGGCCTTTTATTTTATTTTTTACCTGACGGGGTGGTTTCTCGCCGAGCCCGTTGTATATTTTTTTTTTCTTTTTTAAATGGTTCTATACCTGGCTTAATCGAAATTCGCAATGATCGGCCAACGAATTTATAAAATCTTATCGTTGGATCATCTTGACTGTTGAGATCCAAGATCAAGATCTGACTGACGGTTTGACACGTCAGGCCGACTGGGACCCAACGAGTCCCATATTTAAAAAATTAAAAATAAAAAATAAAAAAAAAAAATCTATAAATACCTCCCCCAGCATCTGATATTTTACAATATTTACTCTCCCTCTCAAATCACAATTTTTACACCATTTACAACATTCTTTCTCTCTTCTTTACTCATTTGTAAGTTCTTGAAGTGTTAATTATTGGTTTTTGTGCTCAGTTTGCCATAAAAGCGGCCCGATTCAACATAAATTTGGTCCCGAACTCCGATTTTATATATTCATTCTCATTTTGGTTCTGATTTTATAAATTCTTTATATAATACTTTCACATTTCTAATTCTATCATTTTCACTTCTCTTTTTTATCCTATAAAATGTCGAGTTCCCGTGATGGTGGTTGTGGTGGTCGTGACGGTGAATACCACAAAAGCATAAAAATGTAGGTGAATCGTCTCCAAGTAGACCTCAATTACCGACGCCAAAATAGAAGGTATACCGGGACATTCCAGGTCTTCTCGATGACGTTGATCCTGAGACGTCCAACACATCTTTCACTCTATTGAAAGAATCCACAAAAGCATACAGTTCGAGGAGAACCAATGAAATCAAAGATGTCCAGCATGACACTTCAAGGAGTTGCTCAATGAAAAAAAAGTGACAAGTATTTTACATGTATTTTCAACCATTGTCCGTTCAACTCCAAGAAGAAGTACGCTTTTAAAACCAACGATGGGTACGGAACGTTGCAAATGCAAGTACGATCACATCATCCGGCCAAAATGGGAGTTCCCACGACCCAAACACAATTCTCGGTCCCAGGCGAGAGTAGAATTGCATACACGTGTATGTCTTCTACATTATTCCATACTCCCATGAAAACAATAGCAAAAAAACTAGCTAAATGATTTTTCTGCTTCGCCTCTTCCTTTGGTTTTGTTAATTACTAGTACGCCACCCGCGCGTTGCGCGGTATGATGTTAAATATATTAATGAATTATAATTTAAACGAATGACAATTTATTTACAATAATGCCACTTATTATACATTTGATAATTATACATATAACATTAGTTGTAGGCGAATTGAGTTTATTATGATCACTATTGCCATTGAAAATATTAATCTTTCGTTTATAATTTTAAAAACAACAATATGCTACTATTATGACTAAGTGCATGTTTTTTCAGCAACAATATCACATATAACAACAATAGTTGACTTTGATCAACTCACATTGCCTAACACAACATAATAAAAAATATCATCGT